CGCGATAATACAGAAATCCTGCCCTCTGCAACTTTTACTCTTCAAAGTCTCCTGACTACATGATGCCACCTGCAGAACCACTGAGAATGTAAATAATCAACTTCCCCCCATGATTTACTTTGAGGTTTGCTTGGGGTTGAACTTAATTGACAGCATTTCTACACGTTGATGTTTACAAAACATGTGCAGAGGTACTTTAGAAAACCACATCATCTTTTCCATATGTCTCTGTTGATGCCATAGGAGCAAACACAAGCCTTGTGAAATCGCAGCGGAACCGAATCTCAGTGATTCATTGCATGGATGAAGGTTGACTAAACATCCTCCTCACAGGCATCAGGTCACGGCGGTGTTTAATGGATGGTGGCCAAAAATCATCAGTGACTGAACAGCCAACAGATTATTTGTACAGACATAAAAAAAGATTTTTGGTCATGACAATACTATTTAGGAGGGGAAAATCAATGATGAGTCAGATGAGAACACCCATAGATGATTTGTACCAGAGTAGCACTTAGTCACCTTTGGCTTTGTAGTACAATATAGCACCTGGGTTGTACTTTTCACAGGCTGTTCCTGAAAGGAGCTGCTTCACTTTTAGCATGCACGTGCAAGGAAACGTTTGTTTTAGGAGTCGACATCTAAAGCTCCTCATGAATCTATTAAATTACAATGGCTAAACAATTGAGCAGAGCGGAGGCTCTAGGCTCTAGCCATGTTTACTGAACCTCTGAAGTGATGCACTTTGGTTACAGCCACAATGTTTTATTGGACCATTTTAATCTACAGGGTGTGGTGATGCATGTTCTGTGTTTATGACATCTCACCAATGGATTGGTTCAACAGAGTCCTCTACTGACAAAGTATTATCTTTGAATAATCAATTATGAATTGATAAACTAATTTGTATAACCTCAACAGCAACTTCAATTAGGTACCCCCAATCCCTATTGCAGGGTTGCAGGGCGGCACTGGAGCCATTCCCAGCCATCAATGTGCAAGTAATTCCTTTTCATTTTCAGATAAGTGATCTCAGCAAAAATCTTCATCCATCCTTACCCTACTCTCTACAGATATACAATAATCTTTGAGCAATATACAAGCGTGCCACCAACTGCTCACAGCTCTGGACAATGTGGTGCAGATGGTGACTTTAAAGACCCAGCGTGGCCTCAAGCAGACATCTGAAGACACGTGGAAACTATGACCCAGTCGGAGCTCCCCAGTGTTCAACATCCCTGTTAAAACACTCTCCTTCCCACATGCATTCATCTGGACTGTATATCCATGGCAGCTGGATGTGACGGCTCATCCAACTTTCCATAAATTCTGGAGATACTGCACATGGACTAGATGGAAACCACATGCAGGAGAAAATGAGGAGAGCAGTGAGCGGGACACGTGGGGGAGGAAGAGCTCTCAGGCCTGGTGGAGCAGATAAATCAGAGAACGGAAAAGTAAAGTGATCTAAGAGGTTCTGTTGGGTCTTTGTTTCCAATCAAAACCACATGTGTGTATGTGTTAGTGTATACACCATGCAAGTCAATGTAGATGAGTGTATGAGTGGGGGAGGAAAGGGGTTAGTAACTCATGTCCCTGCACCACAAAGCGGCAGCTCCTGCTCAGGGATCACTGTATACCTCTTTGTGTCGGTGTGTCACCACAAATCGGGGCTGACGTCTGCTGTTCTTTCAACTCTAAATTAGCTGTTTTGGTTGGTGAACCAGACGTACGGATCAAAAAGGTCAGACATGCCCACTTAATCCTGGTAAATCTCCCCCTTTACGTCTCACCAGCCTGTCAGCTTCTGTGTGACAGCATCCATCAGCTACACATGCCTTTTGCCCCCAACCCACCCTTTCACCACAACAGTTGTAGTTACCCTTCGCTCATTGACATTTGAGTGTGTGAGTATCTCTGTAAATAGTGATTGTTGAAAGTGAAACTAAAGAAAAGCTAATGGCAGAGGTGGACGGGAAGGGACACTTGATCAGCTGGTCTTCTTTTACAAAAATGCTAAATATGGCTGCCAACGGTCAGCCATGAGCTCTGGTCAGGGGCAGCAGGTGTGTCAAGGCTGCGGGAGTTTGTGCAGAATCCATCAGAGGAGAAACAGCTGTCTTGACCTGTGTCAGACTCACGCTGTGCTGGTTCTCACTGATTTACAGTACAGACGGTTTTGACTCTGACTTCTTCTACTTAGTGCACTACCAATACACTGCCACTAGGGGTGTGCATTGGCAAGAGATCTGGCGATACGATAACTATCACGATACAGGAGCAACTACGTGACATTTTGCAATACTATAAGCACAACGATATATTGAATATTTTAAACAAAAACTATTTGCATGTTAATGGTTAATGTAAAAAGAAAATCAAAACAGTGCTGTAAAATATCACTGTAGTATCATGAAACGATATATCATGGTATTTCGATGTATCGATATGTTCTAGCACGCCTACTCGCAGATTAAGCTCTTTTAATTGGTTCTAAGCAAGTTCAAGAACATGATGTGAAATAAAAGGTAGGTTTCTGATTACGCACAAAGATGGTTGTCAATATTGTGTAATTCTGACTTCCAATTACTCATTAGTCATTACTTTTTTGGAAGAGAGGACTGACGTGTTCAGTGGAGACTGAGTGTGTCACTGGTCTAAAAAAGTCAATCAGGAAAGTTCATTTGGATTGTGTTTGAAAGTACACTGTATAAAAAGAGGGTTACATATTTCTATATTCAATTTCTAATTGGCAGAAATGAAACATTACATACTTTGACTGATGCTGTCATGGTTACACACTACTGAACTGATGTTGTCACGAGGCCAGAAAATATTCTTTATCTGCTTACATGAAACATGAGGGTTCTTTATGGAGGCTGTCATTTTTACATTAGCCTCAGGCGGACAAACCTAAAAAAAAAGATGCGTTTGAAATGAAAATGAGTGTCAAACTAATGTTCAGTTTTGTTGTATACTAGTACAAGACTGTTAAACAGTTAAAAGACTGGATTCATTTAATATATCACTTGTAATGTTTTTTTATTTGGGTTGAATATTTTGTGGCTTATTATTTAATTTAAATGAGTTTACAATTGTGAGCTTGCTTCACAAGGGAAAAACTAACTGATCTCATGACAAGTTTTTTTGTCTTTGGTTTAGTTGTGTTATTAGGGTCTGACATTCAAAAGATAGATTATTTATTCATTTATTTACTCTGATCTTTTTTCAAATAATCAACCATGGAAACTCGCTGTATTCCTTATATTCATTTTCCTGGTTTTTGTTTTGATCAGTGTGCAATCATAGAAGGTTTTATTGATTATTTCATTGTAAGGATTAAAGATCAAGAGAGAGCAAATATGAAGTGACTGAAAACACTTTTTTTCTTTCTGAATGTGTGGCTGCCACAACATCAGTCACAGTGGACAAGCTACAGAAGTGTTAATGTGTTGGCAACAAACCAGTGTGATCAACAGGTTTTGGAACAGAAAAAGCATGAGTGTATTTCAGAAGAAAAATGAGATCTAAATAGGGGACACTGAACATATCACAACACCATCTATCATGCGTCCCCTGAAGGCACCATAAGCGTGTGGTCGTGGTAATAACATCCACCTCTCACCTGCTTCAAGTCCGCCACAAATGTAATGAGAGTCCCGTCCCCCTGCTTGAATTCCACCGATATGGAGTCTCTCTCACTGTCCGCCTCCAACACCTCCTCGGTCACCAGTCCGTCAGAGAGCCGGACCCGGACCCGCAGCTCGGAGGCTCTGAGTCCCACCGCGACCACCAGCACCAGGGCGCACAGACGGGTCAGGATCCAGGAACTCGCCAACATCCCCAAAGAGGCAAAACTGAACCCGACACAAGTGAAAAAACGAGTGAAAATCCGAGTCCCCCCGCGTTCATATCCCTTAGCGGTTTTCTGGGCTCTCCCCTGAAGCTCTTTTCGTCATGTTCACGCCGGGTTCGTACCTCACTCCACAGGTCGCGTTTCCATGTTGGTCCCCGCTGTGCGTAAAGCTGTTTCCAAACTCAGCAGAGCGCTCACTGGAATCAGACAACAGTCCTCACATCCCTGAGAAAACAAATCTCTGCTTCTTACTCCTGAGTGGAGTTTGCGGTGAGAAGCTTCGGTTCTCCTCACGCTCCGGTCGGACGCCCGTACGCTGCTTCTCCCTCTGCTTTGTGTTGATAATCTCCTCGCCTGCTCCTTTTCTCCTTCCCTCTGCAATTCATGCAATCCCGTCACTTCCTACCCGTCGGTATCCCACCGTTGGCCTGGCCTCCAAACTTTCTGCTGTGTGTGTGCGCAGTGGTAGTAAACTCTTAAAGCTGTACCACCCTCTGAAAACCCGGCCCTTCCCCCTAACTAGAGGCCTCATGTGATTCCCATGCTCTCCACTTAGGAGGCTGCACTGATAATAGACCTAACAACTAGAACTTTGTGTGGTGTCAGGATTTGTAAATCACAGCTCTGTGGCTTGTTGATGCTGTAAACAAATTAGAGTGGAGAAAAAACCTGCACTGACACTCCTCAACAGAAGAGCAATAAAAATGTCAATTATTATTTTTTATTATTTACCTCCTTAGCACACTACTCATGCAAATTATATTTACTTTTACAAAGAAAATGATGCTTACTGTCAAGTTTATATAATAAGCTGGTATTGACTGTAACCTCTTTAAGCAGATGAGAAGTTGTTTTGGTTTTTTTTAAGTGGAAAGAGAACTCCTTGTCATTGTGACACACACCACTGCACACAACCAAATGTGACCTCTGCATTTAACCCATCACCAAAGTGAACAGTGCGCAGCTGTAAGCACCCGGGGAGCGGTGTGTGGGGACAGTACCATGCTCAGAGCACCTCAGTGGTAACCTGACAGCTAGTGGACTCGAACCTGAAGCCTTCCAGACCCAAGTCAGCTTCCTTAACCACTAAGCCACCACTGCCCAATATAATTTCTCTGATCACATCTCTGACATCATAACACATATTTGTGTTTGGCCTTTTTGGGCCATAGGGCCACACAGTGGTGGAGTGGTTGGTACACTTGCCTTACAGCAAGAAGGTCACTAGTTTGATCCTCACTGGTCTTTCTACATGGGTTTTACATGTACTCCCTATGTATGCATGTGTATTTTTTTCTCCTGGTACTACAGTTTCCTCCTACAGTCCAGTAACGTGAACTGTGAACTGTAGTGTGAATTAGTGTGAATGGTTGTTTGTCTCTATATGTGATCTTGTGATTTGGATCATAGGAGTGAAATAAAAAAATGGGTGGGTTTCAAACCCAGAACCCTCTTCATGACAGGCAGGAGTCCTCTCCTTGTAGATCCCCCTTTTCACATCTTTGCAAACAATCTAATAAAAAAAAACAGTGAAAATGGAGATGAGTCATTCCATTGTTTGCTGAAGTATCAGTTTAATCTGAATGGAACTGAGGGTTATTTATGGGTTCGTGTGCTTCGACACTCAACCAAAATAAATCTATCAAGTAATTATTACCTCTGAAGTTGTCATGCACAGGCTCGGGGTGAAGGAAGTAATAACGTGGGCACACCTTGATTCTCCTGACATGTTATTGGAGTTTATGATGTCCTTGGGCTGAAGCTCATCAAACCTGGAGATGAGAGGTGCTAAACAAAGAGAGAAGGAGACTATCTGGAGGAAGATCTCCCACCTTTCCTCACTCTATCACTGTGTTGTGTGTTTTACTAAGGGGAGGGTAGCACCTTGAGAAAAAGACCTGTATGTTATCGCTCTATTGCCCAACGCACTGCATTGTGGGTGGGTCAGGCCTCGTAGCCGGTGACCCTAGATGCGGCTGCACTTGAGTGCTGCTGAGACCGTGAGGTGGTCGCTTCAGTGAAGGGGAAAACAAACAGAGAGGCCATAAAGCAGAGCAAACAGTGTTAGCCGGGCCTGGCAGGCCTAACTGGGCTCCAGGTCCTGACAGAGTGAAGGAGTGGAAGTCCGACAAACACTGCTCATTGTCATGGAGCTCAGTCCATGAGTATTCTCCTGCTACGTCTTTGTTGGAGCACTTAAGACACAGGACGCATTTGCAGGGAAGAGAAGGTGACAGGAAGCCCGGCCTGGCCTAATCTGCTGCAAAATAAGACTTCACAAAGTCACTCCACAAGTACTGTCTTTCAATAATTAGCCCCAGGCCTTGTGTTGATTTGTTGTAGGATGTTTATACAATGCAAAGTCCAAAGTGCAGTCAAACTGTGAGGCTTCTTTCTCCATAAAGGAAGACGGGCAGGCCAACAGGACAGTGTTTGGAGGAAAGGTTACGTCCTTTTTATTGTGGAAATTAAGATAAGATCGTTTGACATTTATAACAGAGAAATTCACATGGAGCAGCTGCAGAAATGACAAAATAAAAAATCACACTTCCTGATAAGAAATCGAAGAAGCTTTAGTCTTACCCTTGTATTTATTCCACATATGAGTCTAACTTGCTTTGAACAATTGTCTTCTATTAATTTTTATTCTAATTTCTAAATAATCTCAGTTCTAAAGTGCAGAGACGTACTGGAATTCTTAGGATTTCCCCTCAGTGACATGAAAATAGAATGACAAGAGAGTATTTTCATTCCTGAAGATGATACCTGTGAAATTGACACCGTAGTCCTGTCTGATCAGTCACCTCAAGCCTCTTCGTTTTTAGAACTGAACAACACAGCTGCAGCAGATATCTTATCTAAATAGACGTCATCTTGGCTTCCTCCAGCGGCTGTGAAAGGAGAAAAATAAGTCTCTCTTCTCAGTGTGTTCGTCCCGAGGGATTTGTAGTCTCTTGAGTAATAAAATAATCACTTAGACAAAGAACTAAAAAGCGTATTATCTTTACCTTCTGACTTCCAGAAATGGGTAACAATGTAGACACTAACTTCTGTCATTTTAATACATAATAAACAGTAAAGATGATGTTATGGTACAGTAGCTAAAATGCACCAACGTTTCCAAGGACAGGATGAGATTGAAATCATGACGTGAAACAGTTCTCACTTTCCGCTCACAACAGATGCATGACCATGTTTTTAATGAGGGACTCTTGAGTTTATTTGTGAAGCATTTGGCTGTTACTGCAGTCAAGCTGCTAATGTTGGGTTACAGTCAAGTGTCGGTTTCTGTAGGTTCATGTGTAAAGCTATACAAGAAGAAGAACTTAGAATGGAGTCCATGATTTGAAAGTAGAATGCCCGACTTAGAACATTTTTACACTCTTTTAATTGTATTTTCTGATTCCAAGGAAAACAATGATTTGAAGTCTAATACCTTAGGTGGAAAACCTCATTTCCACAGTAGAGTGTGAAAAATCAGAAGGACAATATTTGCATTGTGAGCTGATCGGCATCACATGTGTCCACACTGTTATGGCCTCAACGCTCCCTTTATGATGATTTTGCATGAAGAAAGAAATGAAGAAAGCCTCCATAACCAATGACCTCATGCTGTTTTATGCCTGCAGTTCTCTGCACAGCCAGGAGAGCCAGTGGCAGGAGATCCAGACTCTGTGATTGATCTGAGGTTGATCTCTTCCTGCAGACACATGCCGGGAGTGTTTGTGTGCATTTACAGACTGTGTGCACGCTCTCGGAGAATGGGAACTGTATTATTTTGGGATTTCGGGAGCTGAAATGAAGCTTCACTCCAGTCCTCTGATGATTTTTTCAAATCTCATTTCTTTCTCTGGCTTAAATGATTTGCCTACAGGCTGCTGGGTCTTCTGCCAGACACAGAGGGAGCACCCTGCATTAGTCTGACTGGAGGTGTCCCGTTACACGTGGGGCTCTGGCCACGGTGACTCTGTTGGAACTCAGGCTCACATGGAGCTAAGGGATGAATGTGGAAACATGAAGAGAACCTTTAACACCGGAGCTAGGAGAGTTAGCACAGCTTCTAATGGATATTTAGGCAGATATTCACACTACTACTGGTGTTATTATAGCTTGGGTTGCACTGACACTCAATCCTGTTTCAAATACTCAAAGTACTCAAAACATGTGCTGAACCATTGACCCAACAACCAGCTGTGCACCAGTCAGTCAGTGTTGTGTGTTTTCCCCCAGCAGTTTGGTGCTAGTTTATTTAAGTAGGTCAACAATGTCAGCAGTTTGGAGGAATTTTAACATCAGGCACAGAGACAGCAGATACACTAACTGTAAGAAGCGTTTTGTTACGATCCAAGCAATTTAGTGGAACACACGTCTCAGCTCTGAGTTTCTGGTGTTTACAGACCAAAAGACTGGATGCAGAACATGGTTCACTTTGGATCAGAGGTCACCAACGTAATCCCCGGGGTCACTTAGTAGCCCATAGCCCGTGGGGTATGTTCTAAAAATAGAACTAGTCAACAAAAGGGTCAACAATTGTACTGTTACTGAGCTTTTTGAATCAGTTCCACTTGCAGTGATATTCAAATGGAATGGAATCAATGACAATGGCAAGAAGAGAGCCTACCATTGTATGACCCAGAACTTATTATTATTACATTGTTGGGTAAGTCTGTATCAAACAAGTAGCTCTTCGTATTACTAAGTGCCCTTGAAGTAGCTCTCAGTTTCAGAAAGGTCGGTGACCCCTGCTTTAGACAGTCATGATAATTCAGATATGGTTAAGAAAAAGTATCATCACTATGTATTGTTCCTAGCACAACAGTCAACAGACAAAAAAAGGTGAAACAAAAGAGAACTCACCCCTGTCTAACCGAGCAAAACACCACACCTCCACCAATCATTCCACTTTAACTCAAATGGTTCTATGGAATTCCCCAGAGCTTTAAAGTCTAAACAGGAGCGAAATCATGGCAGCCACACACACAGGGATGCGGGGTGGAGGGGGATCTTTTGAATCATAAAAACAAATAAACATGTTTGGGCTTATAGCTCAGCCAATTAAACTCCACATTTTTCCTGGCAAAATCCCAGGAAAAGATAAAGGAAAATCCCACTTTGAAGACATTTCCAAACATCATTTATCCTTTCACCACTATGACAGTTCAGTGCTGTTGTGATCTTAGTTCAGGCGGGTCTCCTTTATTCTCTCCTACTACTAAATATATATTCAAAAACATTACAAATATTTCATTTATTCCCACCCTAAACTAATTTTGGTTACACTACACACAGGTGCATACACTTCAGCCCAGTAGGTGGCAGTAATGAGCGTAAAGTTATTTTTCTGCTTATGGAACTGAAGAAGAGGCTTCATTACTTTACCTGATGGGCTGCATTTTTTTTACTTCCTGATGTCAGCTTAGATAAAAGCATGGGAATGTGCCACAAAGTTTTCTTATCACTGGAGT